ACTCTACTGGATGACGGCCCCTCCTAGGTGCAGTGACGTCATTAATGGTGAATTATCGGAGAGACCACTAGACATATAAATTATACTCATTACTCTTTGAATCATACCATAATTTCCCAGGCCTAGGTCAATTCTAGAATGTGTAGAATGTATTCTAGAAAAGCAGGAATACCGATTTTCTGATTTCTCATTCTTCATATGTCCTGTAGACTTACCTCTTCAATCATTTTGAGCAAACCGGTTTATAAAAGTGCTCTGTCGCTGCACCAGGGGGGAAACCATTTGGCTTTCATGTTCAGTACCATATTAAAGTCCCCATCTACTAATACTGGCATTCCAGGCTTATCTGAAATAAACTACAATCAAATGACATAGCACCTCAGTTTTAAAAGGCAGTGGGATATACACATTAGCTAGTATACAAGGGATGTTTTGTAAAAATGTAGCTCCTTCCATCATCAATACGACATTATCTGAAGGAGAACGCCATCCCAGATCCAAGTAAAATGCTCACCCCTCGAGTATGACAAATATATTGAGTGATATTGAGTACAAAAGCAATGCTGCTTTAATCGGTCAGTAGATTATTTTAACCAGATATGTCTCCTGCAGACAGTGTTGAGGCACTGTATGTATTTAAAGCTGAAAAAAAAACACGTTTTTCTCTTAGTGGGGTCCCCTAACCCCCGGATGTTCCAAGAACAGGTTTTATTGTCATAATGATGCTTTGTATATATCATATACCAGAAATTTATCCCAGCTATTTTCCTTTTTTCTTTCCTATAAAATGCAGTAAAAAAGTGTTATAATCTTTATCCTGCATATATCTAAATAATTCCCTATTAAACATTTACTACCCCTTTTACTCCCAAATCGTGGTATATTACATAGTTACATAGTTACATAGTTCGTCTGGCTGAAAAAAAACAAAAGTCCATCCAGTTCAACCATCAACCATAAAAAAAAAAAAAAAAAAAAAAACTATAATCCTATACCCACAGTTAATCCAGAGGAAGACGAAAAAAAAAAACCCAGGAAAGCATGATCCAATTTGCTCCTGCAGGGGAAAGAATTCCTTCCTGATCCCCCGAAAGGCAATCGGATATTCCCTGGATCAACTATACCTATAAATGTTACCTATATTGATCTGTTCAAACATCCTACATAACCTTATATAAACAAAAAAAAAAAAAAAAAACACCCATACTCACACTAAGCCTGCACAGAGGGCATTTGAAGTGGACTCCCATAATTACCCATGTGACATCTATACCTTTATTAATATGAGAACACCTTATTGCATCAATATTTCACCATTCAGAAAAAGGTAAAAAAGAAAACAAAAAAGTTGGGAAAACATATCTTTCTACACCACCATATAGCGCTGCCCCCCCCCCCCCCCAACCTTCTTTCTATAAAAAGAAAAAAAACGAAAATTGTGCATTAGTTGTATAACTCGGTCAACATTCCCAGCATATTTATTTGTCTGCCCGAAGCCTTTTCTCATTTTTCTCCAGCCATGTTACAGCTTCCATTGGAGTATAAAAAAAGAGTAGCCCCCAGGGCTTCCACACGCAGACGTGATGGATATAACATGGCGTATAAAATTTTCAACTGCTGCAGTCTGTGTTTTTACTTCTATAAACTTTGCTGCTCTTTTTTGAAGCTCAGGTGAAAAATCTGGGAATAAAAGAGATTTTATCAGTTCTCCAGCTTTCCGGAATATAGTGACTTTGTCCTTTTTATAATGAAGCAACATTATTAGAATATGTCTAGGCAGGGCCCCTTCTGGTGAAGGTCTAAAGGGTACTCTATGGGCTCGCTCTATGGCAAAAAGTGATGTAAATGCATCTTTCCGAAAGGTATCTGTACACCACTTTTCCAAAAAGTCGGTGGTGTTTGTATCCTCACTTCTCTCTGGAAACCCCCTTATCTGTAAATTATTTCTGCGCAGTCTATTTTCTAAATCCTCCATTTTGGAAGAATATGCGTTTACTTTTTCTCTCATTATTTCACCTCTTGTTTCAGCAGATTTAAATTGTCCTCCACTGTACTGAGCCTACTTTCCAAAGTTGTTGTGCACTCCCACACTTTTTGTAAATCATGCCTCAACAAGGATACATATTTTATGCCTTTTTAGTTGATCAAACATTTCCAATAGGGAGGACTTGCATGCATTCACTGCTCGCAAGACTTCTCTCAGAGTTGGTTCCTCCTCTGAGCCATTCACACTACATGTTAACAGCTGAGCTTCCACTGAAGCCTCAATTGTTCTTACAAGATTCTTCCTGTGGTTGCTTTCAGATGTCCCGAGCTTTCCCTTGCAAGAGAGGGTCGCGCCATGGCTTTAGTCTGCAGCGTTGAGGACGAATCGCTCCAGTTTAGCTGCTACTTCCTTGGCTTTGCCTTGTGCCGAACACTGTGCTTGTGTACCAGCCCCATCTTGCATCACCAGCTCCTCTCCCTTCTTGTCATGCTGTCCACGTGCTTGATGTATAGCGTATGTGTATGAACAACAAGGTGTACTACAGCGTGTCACCTGGCCACCAATCGTCCTCTCCACCTATATGCTCTACCAAGACACCTCCACAGACCTGCCCAACGGGTGTAAGGTCCAACGACAAACTCCCAGCTCCAAGGCCATTGACAGCTACCAGGATGTTAGAGCAGGAGCTGAGCTACACACATCACACTCACATAGGCTACAGACCACACCCTACATTTCCCCTGTATCAGATTTTCATTTGTATCAGGACATTGTTGCCTTCCTTTTGCCCTTCTCCAAAATACCCTAAAGAGGTTGCTTTCCACTGCTTAGATGTGGTTAGGGCTGTATGAGTCTACCTTGCAGCCACGACTTCAATCCCTCAAACTGATGTCTTGCTTGTGTTGCCTGAAGACTCCCCGAAGGGACAGGCTGCCTCTATTTCTAAAATTGTCAGATGTATTTGATTCACTCAGGCAGATGACTTTAAAAGGCTTTCCTGTGATGGCCCACTCCACCAGAAGTGTTGGTGCTTAATGAGCTTTTCATCATCAAGCCTCGGTTTCCCAGGCCTGTAAGGTGACCACCTTGTCTTCTGCAATATGTTCGCTAAGCTTTTCCATTTCTTCTGTTAAGAGGATGGTTCCTAATGGGCCAACTAGCCATTTGCTTGCTCCTCCTGAGATTCCTTTGGATGTCCAAGTGGTCTAAAAATTAACTCTGCTGTGACCTGTGCTGTACGATTAAAAAAAATTAGATTTGACTTGCCTGTACTATCTTTCTTGAGTACATCACAGGACACAGGTCCCTGCATTCTGGATTTACTTTGATACTGCTTGCTGACAAAACAAGGGCAATGTTGGGAGTGGAAGGGATTTTGTTGGGCATTGTTAAGGCGGAGCTCCACCCAAAAGGAGAAGTTCCGCTTTAAGGACTGCTCCCCCCCTCTCCCCATTAAGGATTGGCACCTTTGGGGAGCGGTTACCCGAATTTGACAGGTACCCGCTCCCACTTCCGGTCCGATCGCCTAGGCGATCGGAAGCGGAAGGTGTCCTGCCTCCCTCCCTTCCTGTAGTCTTTTGGGACAGGTCCCAGAAGACTACAGGACCATTCACGAAGCACAGCGCTACTTGCTCATGCGCAAGCTATCACAGCCGGGTGCCCACACTGAAGATGCCGGCCCCCTGGAATACAGGACAGCTGGTGAACCGAGCTGCGGGGACACACACCGAGGGACAGGTAAGTGGCTGTTTTTAAAAGTCAGCGGCTACAGTTTTTGTAGCCGCTAACTTTTATTTTTTGATAGGTTGAGTGGAACTCTGCTTTAAGCTCTTTTGTTTGCCAGTGTCCAATCACCTGGAGGTGATGCAAAACCCAATAGTTTGTCCTGTGTGTCCTGTGGTAAACTCCTAGATAGGGATTTTGCAGGTAAGTAAAAAGTCAGGTTATTTGGAATATGAACCCTTAATTTAAAAATAGAGGCTTTCTCTTAAAATATGTTTTAAAGGTGTGGAGAATTTCTCAGTGCATAAGTTTTTCATAAGTTTTTTTTTCTTTTTGCCTGTTCCTTTCAGACAAATGAAGGTGTGTTCACTCTTTCCGCTATGACTTCAGGCATACGCAGGAATTGGATTGAGGCTCTGAGAAAGAATGTACACCCAGTTAGTATACCTGATGTGACAAAGTAAGTTGTAAGCATTTTAAAGCCCAACAAACTTTTCATTTTATATTAGTTTAAATACTTTCTAGGTGCAAAAGGTGAGCAAAGTTTTACAGTTGGTTTTGTTTAGAAAGCAGACACAGCCTAAGTAGAAAAGCCTATCCCTTGGCAGCATGCTGCAGAGAATGACACTTCTTTTTTTTTTTTTTTTTTCTGTGGTCTCTCTGCAGAGGTATGACACCCCCCCTGCTGAGGCAGAGCTAGGCCTCTCTAATTAGCTGGGCACCTGAGTTTTGCTGAATGACCCAGCAGAGGGTGTGTCGGGTTTTTGTAGAGAAACCACTGCTTCCACACAGTATCCTGAAGAGAAGGATGTGTGCAAGAGCCTGGCTGAATGGATACAAATTGAATAGATTGTTTAGATTTATACTGATATTAGATAGTTTTGGCAAAGCTGGCAATAGTTTATACAATTTTCTTACTCAATTTCTTTTAGATTCACCTTCAACTATGTAGTGCACACGTGTTTTGATGCACCTGGAATTTATTTAGTTTAAACTAAATGTTATGTTTGTTCTAATTGATTAGAGCATAGGGACTCGGCCCTTTGCTTGCTTTTATCTGGCCCTTTAGGCATTATTTCACCTACTGTCAGCAACATTGGGACATATTAGCTGCCACTGACAACAGGGCATTATTCCTTTCACTGACAGCAATAATGGGGCACTATTCCTCCCACTGACACCTATGATGGGGCGCTATTCCTCCCCCAATGACACCGTTGATGGGGCATTATTCTTGCCACTGACACTGATGATGTGGCACATTTCTCCCACTGACACCGATGATGGGGTACTATTCCTCCCACTGACACACCGATGATGGGGCACTATTCCTCCCACTGACACCAGTGATGGGGCACTTTTCCTCCCACTGACACCAGTGATGGGGCACATTTCCTCCCACATGACACCAGTGATGGGGCACATTTCCTCCCACATGACACCAGTGATGGGGCACATTTCCTCCCACATGACACCAGTGATGGGGCACATTTCCTCCCACATGACACCAGTGATGGGGCACTTTTCCTCCCACATGACACCAGTGATGGGGCACTTTTCCTCCCACATGACACCAGTGATGGGGCACTTTTCCTCCCACATGACACCAGTGATGGGGCACTTTTCCTCCCACATGACACCAGTGATGGGGCACTTTTCCTCCCACATGACACCAGTGATGGGGCACTTTTCCTCCCACATGACACCAGTGATGGGGCACTTTTCCTCCCACATGACACCAGTGATGGGGCACTTTTCCTCCCACATGACACCAGTGATGGGGCACTTTTCCTCCCACATGACACCAGTGATGGGCACTTTTCCTCCCACTGACACCAGTGATGGGGCACTTTTCCTCCCACATGACACCAATGATGGGGCACTATTCCTCCATGTGACACCAATGATGGGGCACTATTCCTTCCACTAACACAAATGATGGGAAGCTATTCCTTCCACTGACACCAATGATGGGTCACTGTTGCATCCACTGACACCAGTGATGGGGCACTATTTCTGCCACTGACATATTTTACTCCTGCTGGCTACAGTCTGGCCCCCCTAAAGTTTGACGGACCATAAACTGGCCCTTTGTTTAGAAAGTTTGGAGACCCCTGGATTAGAGGAAGTATACATTAAAAAATGATTCATGTCTCTGAATTATTCATCTTCAATTGCTTTTTATTATGCAGCAGGTAAAATAAGTATTGAACACATCACCATTTTTCTAAGTAAATATATTTCTAAATGTGCTATTGACATGACATTTTCACCACTTGTCTGTAACAACCCATGCAATCCATACATACAAAGAAACCAAAACAAATAAGTTCAGAAATTAAGTTATGCATAATAAAATGGAATGACACAGAGAAAAAGTATTGAACACCCTAACTGAAATGTATTTAATACTTCGTACAAAATCCTTTGTTGGTAATGACAGCTTCAAAACGCCTCCTGTATGGAGAAAATAGTCGCATGCATTACTCGGGTGTGATTTTGACCCATTCTTCCACACAAACCGTCTTCAAATCTTGAAGCTTCTGTGGGCCTCTTCTATGAAGTCTGATCTTTAGTTCTTTCCATAGATTTTCTATTTGATTTAAGTAAGGTGATTGGCTGGGCCATTCTAGCAGCTTTATTATCTTTCTTTGAAACCAATTGAGAGTTTCCTTGGCTTTATGTTTGGGATCATGGTTTTACTGAAATATCCACGCTCGTTTCATCTTCATCATCCTGGTAGATGGCAGCAGATTTTTACCAAGAATATCTTGAAACATTTTTCCATTCATCCTCCTTTCAGTGATATGAAGTTTGCCAGTACCGTATTCTAAAAAAAACAGCCCCACACAATGATGTTCCCACCTCCAGTCATAACTGTTGGTATGGTGTTTTTGGAGTGATGTGCAGTGCCATTTGACCTCCAAACAATGGTGTGTATTATGGCATCCAAAGAGTTCAATTTTGGTCTCATCTGACCAGACTATATTCTCTCAGTATTTCACAGGCTTGTCTAAATGTTGTGCATCAAACTTTAAACAAGCTTCAATATGCATTTTTTTCCAGCAATGGAGTCTTGCGTGGTGAGCATGCTTACAGGCCATGGCAATTGAGTGCATTATTTGTTTTCTTTGAAAAAATTGTACCTGCTAATTCCAGGTCTTTCTGAAGCTCTCCACAAGTGGTCCTTGACTTCTGGATAATTCTTCTGATAATTCCTATTATTCCTCTGTCAGAAATCTTACAAGGAGCACATTGTCGTGGCCGGTTTATGGTGAAATGATGTTCTTTCCACTTCTGGATTATAGCCCCAATAGTGCTCACTGGAACATTAAGAAGTTTAGAAATCCTTCTGTAACCAATGCCATCAATATGTTTTGCAACAATAAGGTTGCGAAGGTCTTGAGAGAGTTCTTTGCTCTTCCCCATCATGAGATGTTTCCGTGACACCTTGGTAATGAGACACCTTTTTATAGGCCATTAGTTGAGAGAACCAGCTGATATTGGTTTGCACTGACAGGGGACAGGATTGCTTTCTAATTACTGATAGATGTTAGCTGGTGTCTTGGCTTTCCATGCATTTTTGCACCTCCCTTTCTTCGTGTCTAATACTTTTCCCCTGTGTCATTCCATTTTATTACGCATAACTTTAATTTCTGAACTTATGTGTTTTTGGTTTCTTTGTATGACTTGCATGGCTTGTTACCAACATGTGTTGAAAATTTCATGTCAATAGCACCTTTAGGAATTAATTTACTGAGAAAAATGGGGACGTGTTAAATACTTATTTTACCCACTGTATGTGTAGGAATATAGAAGGCATAAACAATGGTCATGCTTGGCGATGCCTTTGCTTTATGAGTTAAATTGCTGCATAGTGAAACTGGTCACTGTGGAGTTAACTTAAGGTATTTTTTCCCTGTATATGAAAGGTAGCTGAACGGTGTATTTGGGTTTAGCAGCCTGGTGTATCAGCAGTCATCCTAAATGCATGTCCCCTACTAACATCAATGTTACGCTGCATACACATACACCAAATTTCAATGTGTGTAGTCCTCTTTAAGAGAAGCTGATTCTTAGACTGGCTTCTCTCAAATGGTCCTGCAAGAAAACCAGCATTTGGTGTATTCTGATAAAAACAGTAGCACAGCAGGGATGCAGAAATTTGTGGGGGTTTTTTTCTTGGTTCGTTCAGCCTGCTGGTTGCATAGAAAAAAAAACTGGCAGTGTTTACCCAGCTTTACATACAGTATATTTAAGATATGGACAATTGCTTAGAGTAACACTAAACTCTGTTTTAAAAAAAAATCTATTCTAGGGTGTATTCTTAACTCAAAAAAGTCCCTTGCTATCAGCCTCCTCCACACAATAAAAACGACTTCCTGAAAAATACACGGTCATTAAGTGGAGGTGCATTGCCTTATTAATGCTGTACTGAAGGTATTGCAGTTATAATATACATAGAAAGTCTACTTTGTTTATACTAACTTTTAATATAATTTGAAGTAGATTTGGCGGTTTCAGAATACCTAAGCACTGATTTGCAGCCTTCCTCTGATGCTGTAATATGTGAGTAAGGCTGCAGTGAGGTTATACAGTAGATAAAGTGATTCTGCATTCTCACAGGTTTAGATTTATGACCATTCACAAGATATGGATACTGCCATCCAAAAGCATTTTTTTTTTTTTTTGTGTGAATTTTGGCACTGAAAAATACTGGTAATTTTTGTACAGTATAGGTCTTACAACGAACATAAAATATGTTTCTTGTATCTTTTCTTTCATTCCATTTTAGGCTGTCCGAAAGTAATAAGGAAAATACATTTGTGCCTCCTCGTGCTACACCAAGGCCAGATGAGCTGCGTCTGAGTTCAGAAGTTAGGCAGAGGAAAATAGAGGTGGTAGGATCGAGACAGGGTTCATTTGACTATGTAGAGTTATCGCCACTTTCCTCTGGGGAAGAGCGAGATCAGAGATTGGAAGAGAGAAAACGCTGGTTTGAAGCTACTCCTGGAGGCGACACACTGAACACTCGTCGAACTCCCACTACACATCTGACTGAAGAGCAGAAGCAGCGGCTCAATGAAGATATTGAAGCTAAATGGAAAGAGCTGGAGCGACTGCCGTTGCGGGAGACGAAACAGACTCCCCTTTCTTGTTTGCTTGCAGGAAACAAAAGTAAAGCTACGGGGGAGAACACATCAGCACTTGAAAAACAGGTAAGTTGTTTGAATAGGTTACATATTCTGAACAAGCCGTAAAAGCACTTTAAAACAAACCACCTTTTACCTCTGTATCTATGGGCATTGTGGTGTGATGTATTTTTTATTTTAAAGTGTAAGGCCCCTTCCACACGGGGCAGACTCCACCAGGAGTCCGCTTGCTCATCGGGGATCTGTCCACTGATCTATGCTGAACAGGCGAATGGCTTGCCTATGTTCACTCCGCTTATGCAGAGTGGACACAGACACAGCCCACTTTCCTCTATGTGCGATCAAATGTAAATGGACCACCTGTCCATTTACACCTGACTGCCATCCGATCCACTAGATGGAAGGGGAACAGATTCCCATTGGTCTGTTTTTAGCAGATTGGATTATATGTAGGCGGATGTAAATTAACATGTCTGTTTACACCCGCTGCTCCATATAGGACAATGGAGGGTCTGACAGGGTCCGCCTGAAAAACTGACAGATGGATTCTGTCCGCTCATGTGAAAGGGTGTTAACTGAAGGCAAAACTTTTTTTCAGTTCTAAATATTTTTTTCTTTCTATCTGCTTTCCTGTTTGAGAGCATAACCCACTCAATTTGTCTCAGTGACCATTTTCAATGAAAGTAAAAGTAATAGAAAATCTTTTTGAGCAGAAATCATCCAATGGAACACTAGTTCTACTGACCTGGGTGACTACCACGAATTTCCTTTACATTTGAGGGTGTTCCTTCCACTGGTTGTTTTTGGCTTTGGGATAGGAAGTGAAGGGAAATCTTCCTCTATGGGACACAGACGGAAAAAAACTGGCAGGTGCTATAACTCTTCCTTACTCTATCCAAAATTAAATAAAAAAAACAAGTTTTTTGTTAAAGATATTATAAAACTTCCCACGATCAAGTTGTTTCATGGTGTCAGTAGAGCAGCGGTTCTCAGCCTGTGGGTCGCAACCCCTTTGGGGGTCGAACGCCCCTTTCACAGGGGTCGCCTAAGACCATCGGAAAAAACATATTTCCGATGGTCTTAGGAACTGAGACACCGCTCCTCTATCTCCAGGTGGGTCCGCCCCCATGCACATACGCCCACATACAAGTAAGAGAACAGTCAGCAGTGATGAGACCTGACCCCTCTGCCCCAGCCTATCATCTCCCACAACATCCACCCCGCCCATTGTCTGCACTGCTCCCCCAATGATCGCTGAGCGGCGACATCATCCCCAGCTCTAAATGCAGGGCGGACTAGAACTTGACCAACCAGACGAGGTGACGTGTCAACGGGAAGCGCCAGTGAAGAAGTTTTGACGTCCTCAGATTGGGCGTGGCCTCTGTCAGGGAGCCGGCTAGCTGGGGACTGGGTGGAGGAGGGGGGAGAGCGGATCCAAGATGGCGTCAGTGAGGAGGTGAGAGCGGGCCCTGTGTGAAGAGAGCTGGCAGCTCTGTGTGGTGGGGATGGGGGAGGTGTGACACCTTGTATGGAGGAAATGAGAAGAGCTGCTGCAGTTATGAAGTAGCAACGAAAATAATTTTATGGTTGGGGGTCACCACAACATGAGGAATTGTATTAAAGGGTCGAGGCATTAGGAAGGTTGAGAACCACTGCAGTAGAGTAAATTCCTGTGTCAGATGTTTTGTTTGTGCTCAGACTTGAGGCAGGTTTCATGGCACTGCACTGGTTAATGCATTACCTCTGTTTTTGGTGTAGTAACTGACCTTTCATGTGAAAAAAAACTACAC